TAACACAAATAATGAATTAAAACATACTAGCACAAAATAAATTTGTAATATCACAAAGTAAGCACCAAGCGATTTTTGGTTTATTAATTTTCCCTACCACTTTACTATCGGAGTACTATAAATTTAATTAATAGCACAGATAGAATAATAAGTAGAACTAATCAGAAGTGGTGGGGGAAATTAGTAAACTCGCGATTTTTCACTAGAATAATATAATATAGAATTCTCATTTCTAACACCCTTTAAACAATTCAAGCGCCTATTATACAATAAAATTTTTTGTAATTTTTATAAATTTCTGGTTTTGTTTATTATTTTATACACGTAATCTTCAATGATTTTCAACAACATTTATTTGTATATTCGTCTTTTATTAGTTCTGTCACCCTTTACAGTTTCGTCAGCTTCGTCACCTTTCGTCAGTTTCGTCATTTCATCATTTAAAATTTTAATTGACGAAAGACGAAACTAGGTTTCGCGTTTCGTCAGCGTGAAACCTCGAGGTTTCGTCTAACAACCATACTGCTTACTTCGGTATACTTGGACTTATCACGCAAAAGAAAATACCTATAAAAAAAGAAATGCTTTCAGAAAGATATGGAACTCGAATACAACGATTGTTCTAAGCTCGTCCTTTGTATAGCTATAGATAAAGAACTCATCCTTGGACAATAGTAAAAATATTGTTCTGGAAGTGAGAAAAGATATTAGAAGGAAAATGATATCTGAAAACGAGATAATTCCTTCAAGCATTCAGAAACTGTTTCTAGGAGATCATCCGTTCCAAACAACTGATTTCAGAGATAGAGGCGTGCTTTCTGTGTTTAGTTTGCTTCTTAATATATTAAAAATTTATGATTTCGTTTATCCTACTTGACCTTATTAAATATTTAAAACGTAGAACAAGATAATGTGAAGAGTAATTTAGCCAGATGATGATTTAAGGTATGCTCTTCATTTGATATTATATTTAAACAATATGATTCTATTCAATGATAACGTCTTTGTTATCATCTTGCAGTTTATGGGATACTAATTACAAATATTATAATGATATAGGTATGCTATCTATTAATTTTACGGAGCCATCAAATGCTCTTAAAGAATATTGTGACCCTGTCAATAGTCTTCCTATTTGTTATGTTCCTAATGACAGAATAATTTCGATTGAGATTTTTCAGAGCATCAGATCATAAGGTGATGGATAACAAGCCACCCGACCTTTACTCAATCTATTGTAAAGATCGCGATGAGTTGAGGGTTTATTTCACCTACTGCAAGATTACAAAAGTTGATATTGAAGACATTTATTTTCAGATAACTTGTGACGTTGCTATTTTGTAATGCATATAATAGAATTATAAAAAATTTCTCAAAAGAAGACATGGAAAAACTTGAGATAGAATTAAAGGAAGGATTATGACCATTGAATTCAACAACGTCATCAGAATCGAATGGAAATACAAGAAGAAATTATTGTAGTTGCATAATCCAATAATGAATTAAGATAGCTTTTATTCTATAACTTACAAAGGAGACTTATGTCTAAACATTAAACATGTTTTAAAAACTTATTTATGTCTCAATAAAAACCTTGTTCTAATTTCAAAGACATTGCTATCATAATCGGTTATCAGTTTTTCATCGTAGTTGGCCTGCCTGTATTAACCTAACTTAAGCTGATGATCTTAATTTGGTCTTACGACGGTCAAAATTTTGATATCGATTTATCTATGAAAATTTGCCGAGGAGTACGTCCTAAATTTGATTCTAATATACCTAAATGTTATGTAGAATTGGCTATGCAATGTATGGATTCTACTCCCGAGAAACGATCTAATGCTTATCATATTTCAACCCAATTATATGAATGGACTTATAAACATAAACCTTTTTTTAAACAATTCGAAGAAGCTGACTTGAACAGACTAAAGATCGAATCTTCAAAGCATCCAGATCACATGTATACCAGCAAAGCGATCAATACACGAGAGATCACTGAAAGGTTATCAAAGATGGTCATTAGCAAACTAGTGGAAAGTGTAGAAATTTTTGATGATAAGTGATCATTATTTTATTTATCAGTATTATTATTATTATTATTATTATATTTTTTTAAGAGTAAGATTTTGTGATTAAATCTTGACTATAACATAACTGGCAAAAAATCTTCTGATTTACAAGTGGTATAATTTTTAGATAATAATCTTAATAATTGAAATAAACAAAAAACTTCTGATATATGGGGTTTTTGCCTTGAAAATCACGTTATGGAACATATGATTTACTATGTCCCATAACGTGATTTTCAAGGCAAAGACCCCATATCATCTAATAATAAATAACTAATATAGATTATTTCAAGCATAAATTTATATTTTTTAATATTAGTACGTGATTTGATTTAATTACGTATACACATTTAGGTATTTTTACTATCAGAGATATGTATGAACAATTTCAAAAATATCCATTGTCGAAAATGATGTAAATGATGCCAGGTATGTCAGAGATGAACCTTGAAGGTTCAGACAAACTAGGTGCACAACGAATTAAAAGGTGTTTACTTTGTGATAATAATATTTATATTTATTGAATTGTATTTATTTAATTTACAGATTGATGATTATAATGGACAGTATGAGTGAATCGGAGCTTGAAAATTGATTTAAAAAATTTTCATTGAATTCGGTTAGTTGTCGAGAAAATTTGTCTATAATTTCTACTTCGACAACTATATCACATGATATTCGGTACGTGCAAAATCACGTGATTTGGTACAGGGCCCCTAAAAAATTTTGATATCATTATGCAAAAATTGTTTTGGTAACGACCAAATATTGTTTTTTATTGCGATAACAAAATTTTATTAATTTTGATTTAAATACATAATATTTAGCATTTGTAATAAATCTAATCTAAGACTTTGTCTATTATTATTATAATTTGAAAAACTTTGCTCAACCCCACAAGAAGAAATCGGAAGCCAAATATATTCTTGAGCAATTTTACTTAATTCCGGTAATTGCTTAGATATTTTGTCCCAAAACTCTGCTAAATTATCATATTCAATTCTTGCTAATTCTAAATTACAATAAATTGACCATTCATGTGTTAAAGAAAAAGAAGGATTGTTTAGTTCATTAATAATATGACGATAAGTATGAATATCACAATTAGCAATAGTAAGATTAACAAAACGTGGGTTAAAAATTTGAGTAGCTTGAAATAAGGATCGTGCTGGATGATTTTCAATATGATCTGTATATTTTTTGTAAGCTAAATTAAATACTTTTTGAAAAATTGGAATAAAAGAATCAAGAAAATAATTGTTTGAAATAATAAAGTCATGAATATCTAAAGGAAGAATTAATGAAGTTTGATTGTTTTGAATATATAAGCCAAGTTGTTGAATATGCAATTCAATATATGGAAAAACGGGAGTATTTTGAGTTTGAAAAAAATCTAATTCAGATACAAAAACTTGAGCATAATGTTTAATAAAACGAAGATAAATTTCAATTAAAAAATTATTTTGTGGATTATCAAAAGTTTCAACAATTTTTTTAACGGCTGGAGAAGAATTTTCATTTTTTTCTTCTTTATAAAATCCATGTATATAAGTAAGATATTCTAAAACATAAAATACTATACGAAACCATGAACTCTACCTAGTTTTGTTATAAAGAGGAATTTTTTGTATCTTTTCAATACCATGGCGATGTAAGTATAACGAATATCAACTCCTTCGACTTTTGCATTGTGAGATAGATTGTTAAATTTCCACAAGCAAATTTTTAACAATATCAAATTACACAATAGACATCCATGCCTCTCTAAAAATAATTTTATTAATATATATTTATTTATTAATATAAATATTTAACAAACATACCCAATAAGATTTAAAATATGAGCTATACATGTCATATGAACTATTTGGGGCATTACAGGTTTTAGAATATTTTGAAAACATTTTTTCATGTACGATGCTGAGTCTGAAACAAAAAGTCGAGGTGCACTAAATGGAATAGACCATTCAACTAAAGTGTGAAGAATAATTTGCCCTACACTTTTATTATTAACCATATCAAGAAAGTCTACTAAAACTAACTTAGTTACATTCCGATAATTAACAAAATATTAATTACACTCCTAGCACAATCATCTGTCGTTTTATCAACAATAAATGCAACAGGTTTCTTAAAAAATTTTGATTTCATCATTGCTATATATTTGTCATATACCAGTTTCAAATAATTTTGCCTTAAAGTTTCGGCTGAAGGAATAAAACCGCCATTAATAAGATTATTTTTAAGCCACAGATGTAACTTATCAACCTTCTCTAACAGAATGTTAGCACCCACAAAAGCCTTAACCAAATCCAAAATAGTATTCTTTTTTTTTTGTGCTGCATTTACTGACATGTGTAGTGTTGACTGCCTTGATATTTTTTCATGTCGTTCTTTTGCAGATTTATTTGCAATATGTTTTGTACTATTAATATGAGTTGTAATAGTCGACTTTATTTCATAGTTAATGGAGGTATCACAAAACCGGCACATTAAAGTTCCATGATCTGCAAAAAAATATTCAGAAAACTCATTTGCGCGGGTTACTGCAGTAACTTGACATGTCGGTGGCATTTGGGCTATAAATTTTTTTAAACTATAAGCCAAGTATTATTGCAAATTAAGATAGATCAAAAAAATCTTACCAAAAAAAAAAAAAAGTTAAGCAGGTAAATATTAAATGTAATTATTGTGCCTGCTTGTTTTTGCTAGTTCATTACGAAAATACAAGGATCTACTTCTCAACACTAAATGTGCTTGAGAATTGCGACTTTAAACTAAATCTAAACCTCTATCACAATCGCTACTGATTATCTTTTTTTTAGTGTATGTGAAGTTACATGAAAAATATCTAAATATGATTGGTGCACTAAAATAGCAAACCAATCATTTTTGTTGTGTAACTTGCATACATACAAAATGTGAAAAATTGTTTTATAATGTGATATCCAATGAAAATTGCGATTTATTGTTTTATAATCTTTTTGAAATTTTCTAGGGGCCCTGGTGTCCGTAGATCGGTCAAAACAATTTAAATTTGGCTCTCTCTCTCTATCCCTCTCCCTGGCTTACACATCGATCTACATGTCCGGATTAAACATTGCCGGTAATTTCCTTATAAGGCAATTTTGCCATAAATCTGTAACGTTGGTCATACTAATGGTATGTTTGAATATTCAATAAATATTTGGTCAATTGTCCCAAACAATTTGGTATTTTGGTCGTATTGTACGCTATCTTTAATCTTCTGAATCTTTAATTAGTATTGTTTCTTCTTTGTTTTGAGTTTCAAAAGTGAGTAAACAAAGTCTTGATTTTTTAATAGTTCTATTAGTCCAGAATCTGATATTTTCTTGAGTGTCAGATTTTCCTTTAATATTTTAGATGCATGCATTCTATCTTGGGGTCAGAATGCTGCTAAATATTTGTAATTATAGTGGCTATTTAGGAGTCTATTGACTCTATTGATTCTATTTTGTATCTGGCCCTTTTCGTATTCAAAGTGTTTTTTATATTTTTTTATCTGTAGAATCTCAATTCTTGGTGTGGCCTCTACTTATTTATAATGAGTAGTAAATTCGTGGTCTGTCATCATTAGTAATCTTTCTTGAATTTCGTTCTCATCTGCTAAGCTTTCAATTTCTTCATAGGGGTACTTAGCTTCATAGTTTATATAATCATTAGCAAGTTGTTCTTCTTGTTGTACTCCTTGCATTCTAACAAAATATTAGTGTATTCCGTCGAATATTAATTCTAGTGGTTGTTTGATCATTGGTATGAGGGTTAGTTCCTTTACTTCATCGTAAGTATACCATTCCCATGGTGTTGCTTCTTCTGGTTCACATTGTTTCAATTTTTGGAATATATTACATAGATAAATAAATGCAGTTCTTTGTATCTTGTATTTAGCTTCTGTTGGTGAGCAGTATTTTTCTGCTACCCATTCTTGTGAGCTTGGTTTGAATTCGGTCTATACTTTGATAAGTAGTTCTTTTTCCATTAAAACGTTAGTTTCTTCTAAGCCTTCTCTTATTGCAGTGTATTCATCGCTTTCACATGGTTTTCTGTTTTCATCTAATTCTCCTTTTCCTCTATATCCTTGGTAGTGGTTCCAAAATACTTTCTTTGGATTAATTCTTTTAGATAATCCTATTTGATATCCTTTTTCTGGGTGATACCTAAATGGTGCGGTTTGTATGATTCTGCGTTCTGGTAATTCTAAATGGTGTATTAAAGATTGTGCCAAAAATTCTAATTTTTGGCATGTATTGCAATTATCGTAATAAATTTCTTGATCGTTTTTAATTTCTTTATATTGTTCCATTTCCTGGAATTCGTTACAACTAGTACATTTCCATGTCATTCCATATTGTGGATCGTTATATAGTGGTAACTGCTCCATCTTCTTCGTTTAACTGTTGTATTGTGAACTTTACAAATTCTAAGTTATAAATTTCTTCCTCTAACAGTTCTTTTTCTTTTAACAATTTCAGTTTCTTTGAAATTGAAATTCCTCTTCAGTTTGTCTTTGCGCATTTAAGGTTTCTCTGTGGTTACAGTTTTTGCAACGTCATAGTTCTATATCTTTGTCATGTTTCTTCGAATATTTTGAATATTCTTCTAATTTCTTGTAGTGTCCACACCTTGGACAACGTTTTTCGGTAGTTCCTGATTTAGTAATTCTTTTCACGGGTTTGTATCTTCTAAAATTATTTCTGTAGTTGAAACAGGTTTTCAATCTTTTTGATCCTTTAATGAAAACAGATTGTTCTTGTAGTTTCGCGCAGATTGAGCAGCGTATTAAGTATTTAAATGAGAATTTTCCTTTTTCGTCAGTTATTATTTCTACTAATTGTTTCCGGTAGAATCATTGTATTTCTTCTCTGCACTTGTCACAGGTTTTATTTATAGTTCCGGTTTTATTATTTATGGAATAAGTTCCATTGGGTGTTCTGCACTTACAACATCTTTTGGTTATTTTATCAAAATTATATTTTTTCTTCAGTTTCTCTTTAGTCATTAATCTTTCTTTTTTTTTTTTTTTATTTGTCAAAATTATATTCGCATTTTGCTTTCTTTTTAATATATTTTATATATATATATTTTTATATATATAGTAAGTTTTAGAATCCTTATAGGCCAAAATATTTTTCAATATTTATAAGTTTCCACTTAAATTTTTATTAACTTTGATTTGTTTATTTTGTTTAATACTTTGGTGATATTTTAATATTGAAGTATGTGATTCCTTCAATTGCTTCCAAATCTTTTCTTAATCGTTCTTCAAGTTGTTTCCAATTATCCAATACTTTGAAGTTGGTTTCTTTGGATATTGATTCTTGGTAATATTGCTGTTGTACATGTCGTAACTTCTTTTTTAATTTCTTTTCAAGTTTAATATTTTTCATTTATAATGAACGAGATCGTTTCCTTGCACGTATGAAAACTCGTGCCAAATATGAGCTTCAGATTGACCTATTGTATAGTTAAAATTATCTACTAAAGTGATAATATAAAAATCTTTATTCATTAAAGATGCTCGTAGTTTGGTTGTGGTTTTCTCGAGCTTTTTGTTTCCTATAAATGTTCCTTGGTGTATAAGTACTTGGTTTGGTTCTATAGTTGTTAAATTTACTACAAAGTGTTCTATTTCTGAGATTTCTTCTCTTAGTTGTGAATAAGGATGTGCATCCTTATCAAATAATACGAATACCTGATTTTGTTGTATATCTGAAATCCTTTTGAAATGTCCTTTTGCTGTAGATATAATTCATTCAATAAATTTACTAAATACTGGTTCTTCAAATAATTGTATAAGTCATATTTTTGTGGTTATTTGTGATTTGATTATTGAAATCGAATTTGTTTTAGACAAAACTAGTATATTATTATTGAATAATTTCTCAATTCTCCAATCTAGATGTCGTAATATTTGGTGTTTCTTAAAGCTAACACTATAATAATTAATTTTAACTGGTTTGTCAGAATATGCTGTTACTAATTCTTCTTCACCCTTTTCGGATATTGGAGATGTTGTCGGTGTGTCTATTATTATATCCTCAGTTGGTACTTTTTCCGGTTAAATAAGAGTTTTGTATATTGATTCCAATTTCGTTTTATAAACTTCTATTTCTTCGTTTGAATATAATAAATTATTCATTAGCAATTTCTTGCACTAATGTTAAGCAATATGCTTGTAAAGTTTTTAAATATATTTCAATATTTATAGTGTTAATTGCTAATTCCTGGTATGCAATTTTGATAGTTTTATTTTTCTCTTTTAGATTAAAGTAACTTTGAATTTCTTTGAGGGCTGTAAGGTAACTTTCTAGTGTTTGGATATGTTTTAGTAAGTTAATATAAGTTTGGACTTTTATTTCAGTTATCATTAACTTTGGGTTCTTGTTGGTCGTGGTATTTCTGTAAATCCTTATAATATGTTCCTTTCAATAATTGCGTTGTTGTAGATATCAAACACTGTCCTCCGTAATATTGTCCTAAGTCACTTTCTGGTATGAGTATTTTTATTATATTATGAACCCTGTTATAGTATTGCTTATAGTAATGTTTTCTTCTAAATTCTATCCCTAGTATTTTAGTTCTTGTAATTTCTTCAGAGTCTTTATCCAATGAATATATTTCAATATAATCTAAATGTAAAGTTTGGGCGTTTCTAAGCCAAATAGAATATTCTTTTGATTCGTATGCATTGCTTATTTCCAAGGGTTTTCCTTTCTTTTTCCAGAAATCGTCAATTATTTTCTTTAGTATTATTTCTTTTAAGAAATGTAATAAGTGTCGAGTCCTTGCTTCTATTTCATAAAAAGTTAAGTTTTCTTATAAAGCAATTCTGATCTTTCTTTTGGTGGTAAGTATTCTAGGTGAGTAATGTAATCCTTTGTTAAGTTTTCATAAAATTCGTAGACTTTTTCCTTGTAGGTATTTTCCATTTAACTAATAGATTTACTTCGTATTCTACTTTTGCTCGGAAAAATATAATATTTAGTTATCTAGTTCAGAACTTTTAATTCTTCTTCTTCGTCAATGATTACTTTAGCCCCTTCGTTGAATAATATATCTTCTGCAATAAAGATGTTAAAGTATAATAATCTTTTTAAGTCTTCAGATATTTCTAAAGTGTCGCAAAATCTTTCTCTCGTAAGTTTTAGTTGTAAAGCCATTGTAGTTAGTCTTTCAATCTGTTTCTTTTCTCGGTCCAGGTTATTATTTGTTGCAGGTGTATCAAATGGCTTATATTGTCCTTGACTATTGGTTAAAAGGTTGTTAAAGATTATATTATTAACAGCAATTGTGTGTTTTATCGCTTTTAGGGTTGTTCCGAGTCTCCAATTGCTGGTTGGGTTTATTCTTGCAATTAGATTTGCCAAAGTTATTTCAATATCTACTTGTATTTTCTCAATTCTTCTTTGGTATAATATTTTTTCATGAGGGTTTATTACAGATCTATTAGTATTCCTAGGTATTGGGTTATGGTTCCAAAAATATCTAAAAGGTGGGTTATCAATATCAATTTCCCTTAATATTTGTTCTGAGTATATATCCCACTCTGGATGTTTAATATATATTCGTTCAACTTCTTGTTCTTGGTATAAATCATAAGTATCTCTTGTTTTTTGGTTAAGATATCCTTAATAGTTTCTTTGATTATTAAAAAACTATTTCCATGAGGTAAATTATGAATAAACTATTCCTATGAGGTAAATTATGAATGAGATTTAGACATTTCTGCCCCTTCCTGAGGTTTTATTCTAAGTCTCTTAGATTTCGTTAGGTGGTAATATTTCAGTAAATATATGTTCAATTAGTCGGATTGGTATTTCGATTTGAGATATTTGGTTATATGGTAAAGTCTTTTCAATCTATAATTCCAATGATTGTAACAATGATTCAATTATTGTATCAAGTAAACTTCGTTGTATTCTTTGGAATCCTTTTACTTTGGTATTTGAATTATAGATATATCTAATATTATTTCTAATAGTTTTTAATGCAGTTAATGTTGTATTCTGTCGTG